ATCTAATCTTAACTAAAAACAACTGTTTTGAAGGAGAGCAATGATACCTATTGGGTAATCGTGAAGCCAGCTAAAGAGGACTGCAGAGAATAGGATGAAATAAAGAAATGCTGTTAAAGCGTTATGTTCTACTGGAAACCCAAGGGAATTATATTATATTGAGGATATAAAACTGATAAAGTTATCTGAAAGAACAGCCCAACAACAACAGCAGCTACAATAATGTACAACTGAGATGACAATAATTAAGCGACATGCACGCTGATACTCACAAGGATCAGTCCACGAATCATAATTTCGACAGCAATAGCCAAATACACACGGTGAATAGCTGACGAGACCACGAAAAGACTATATAGTTTTAACTTTAGAGGGAGCAAACAGTCTGAAAAACATACATCTTGTGAATCTGGTCAACAGTAAGGTTCATCGAAAATGAAACGATGAAATTTCGCCGGATCCACGAAAACGTACATTTGTACTCCTCAAGGGAGAAAGCATACTCTAACATTTTGCACAACACGACAAGTCAATCAAATAATTCAGACTGATAGTCATATCGTCTACGTAAATCGCAACACCACTATGGTTGACAAGCATAATAACCACAAAAATTGCACTTACTGGCTTTGAGCTAAATGGTAGAGACTTCTGTGTATGCTGATTGACAACAAGCTCTATATTTGACGGCAGACATCTGTAAATAATATCTTGATGGAGCATTTACCACCGCTGATTTTAACAAATAAATCTACCATTTGCGGATGAGCATGATCATCTAGTAGAACCAATCAAGCATATAGACAAATCAGCAAAAAGACGAGCAGAGAATAGCTACTGTTGCAGCAACCCACGAAGAATATAACACCACCTGCAGCATACATGATGCTTATAATCTACCAAGCTTTTCAATAACCCAAGTAAATGTGTAACAACAGAAGACAAGGGCCAGGCAACAGATTGTTTATTAAGGAAAATCAACATACATTTATAGATTTTTAAGTACATTATTGTAGATTATTGTTAGTAGAAAATACTGTCTTTTGATTGGTTGTTTCTCACAGAAAGTTAACCTGGCATCTCCTTGTGGCTGTGTCAGATCATCCATGTGCTAACTGTATCCGCCTACGCAAAGCCTTTGTTCATATTTTCTCACCACCAATATTGGGGACATAAACATTGACGTCAATTACTGTCTACCAACTTTAGGTAGCAGCCGGCTCTCACCACAAATAGGGAAGATAGAGCTGCATCAAAAACTGATTCAACGTCCAGCTTCAGGCACTAAGAAAACAGAGCGAGCGTACAATAACCAAGCTGGACGTGACTAACATAGGCATAGACGTAGGTGCACACACATATGAACTGGGGCAATATCGTAAGGACGGCACACAGATGTATTTTTCTCCCTTCGTTAGCTGAGCAGTGTTATCTGTGATCTAGGACCAGGCATAGTAAACTGCTTGATAATTCGAAAAGGATAATCGAGGTCAGCAAGTACACGAACCTAAAGTCGTTCAAGCAATGTGAGTAACTAAGTGATCGCATCAACTTGGAGATAAGTTTTCCATCACAAACTAACCAATTTATATTTGTATTTAAAGTTGACTTTTAACGTTGATACAATCCTGTATTTACTATCTTCAGTCGAGTAAACTAAGTTCTTCCATAAAAAAACTTCCTAAAGGAGCAATAACCAATTATATGCCTGGATCCATGAACTGAGTGCCACTTCATACAGTTGGACATCATAAAAATAATCACTTTCACTGAATGATTTAAAATGCGGCAGATACATTACTTATGCAACCACTGTATTCATAAGTTACATTGACGTTAACGTGTAGGAATGAATGAAAATGACAACTCATATAAGCTTATATCCGTAAGCATACAAGTACAAGTTACCACAATTCAAAATACCACTGCAACAACAGGTAAACAAAAACGCAAAATTGTGAAATAATAAAACTGTTCAATATTTAGGTCATAAGAAGTGCCCACACCTACGATCGTACTTAATTTGGGAAGTCAACTGTCGAAGTTAGATAATTAACAGTGCAATTACCAGGAATGTCACGAATTCAGTATGGAAGAAAGGGTTTATGAGTTTACAATACTTTGGCTTAGCACATAATTTCATATTCATACACTTTCAGAGCAAACCAACCCCAGAATTGATATATTTTGTAACACAACTATAATTCTTGTATTGATCAGCTTTGTCAAGATAACTCCAAACTACATGCCGAATTCGAGTAGTATTTGAAAAGTCAACAGAGAAGCAACACATCTGAAACCTAAATCACTGTCAGATTAACTTAGCTTTCCACCTTACCTATTTTTTTACCGTTAGCAATGCATAGCAATTAGACGTCAATGCAGTGTGCTAAGAGGAGTCATGGCGTCTTTTCTTTGATAGTCAATTAAATGTTGGGTGTGCGGTTGACTTCAAACTGAAGTAAATATCTCAGAATACAAACAGTTGACACGGCAATATATCGAGGAGTAGGTGGCACAGCATTCTGCCACATAATCGAAGTAGCTGATTAATTGTATTCTTATATTTGGAAAAATATCGAAGTTAAAGGACGTTTAATTTACTATGTGAATTACAAATGCAGAAATTTACGACTTATTAACAATTCACATGATAAAAATAATGAATTTTCTTATTATCTACTCAGTGATGTCCTATTATTAGACACAAATAATATGCGACAAATGAAATCAACATGTCAGGTAATTACAAATTTACCATGACCATAATATACGTATGAACTTACGACTAACTTTTCTAAACATGCCTTTGGTTAACCGGTTCACTTGATGATGCAACACCATATCATGAGGACGACTAGGAATAACGACCCATACACACCCTTGACAATCAGAAATATTGGTAAAAGATTGGATACAGGCTGACTCTATAGATACGCTACATCTTCAGGAAATCACCGCACGCACTATAGGAGTGAGATTATTAATCTACGCTAGTACGCTAAAATGGCAAATGAGGAAGCAATTTAAGTTGCAGTTTATAATTCTAATATGTATAGGTTCTCAGCAGGAGGAAATATTGCGAGACAAAATGGACAACTGTGTTGATCTGAGTGCCACAAGTAGCGGCTAGCTAGTAAGTACACCTTTAATTGAGGCGTCATTACGCCTCCAGTGACATAACTCCAATAGAATTTCAAACTGTTTAGGAATCACAGCAAGCTTTCCATAAGCTCTGCGTTCGATGATATTAGAAGTTGGAGGTAATTGGCAGGAAGTCTTGAACCTAGGTTTCGTGCTAGTTGGCACTTATCAGCAAGGCGTATCTGCAACCTTAAAGGAAATCATGTCCCTTATGATTCGAACCCGCGTCACCCAGTGCTGCAGTCAGAGACGTTACCACTGGGCTATTCGGACTCGCGATTGACCTCCTGTAGGACTGCAGTGGGTATTTTGATTGGACACAAGTCCTACAGGAGGTCAGTCGCGAGTCCGAATAGCTGTGGTAACTTTGTAATATCATCAAATCCATGTGCTCCATGATGAGCTACCTAGAATGGCGGCCACATTGTGAACCAGACTGATAGAATTCAGTATGCACCAGAGAAAGTAGTGTCCAACCAAAAAAACTGCGTTCATTGCTAAGATCACGTGACATTTAAAACACTTCACCATACACAGAAGAACCACTCCCTTTCTGGAAACAGACCATGGGAAAGTAATCACTTCTATGAGGCGGGATGCTACGTAGACCTTATGACGAACAAAATATTTACTGTATGCCATACAACAAATTCTAAAATATTCGTATAACTGTAATATATGGCCAAAGGTATCGTATGTCGTCCTAACTAAAAATTAATACTGGTATACGCAACTTACTTTATTCACCAGTCACAACTTTTCGGATCTCTATTGAATTCAACGGACGTTTAAAACTTACAACCGTGAATTCCACATTAGTTACTGGCTTTCAGCAGAAGTTTTAATTACTCCTGTTTCATCCACACAATTAGCATCACTTAATTTGGCAATGAGCAGCAGTTTTATCCATAAAATGAAAATCAAGCGTTCGTGGGTTGCTCGTACAACAGATCTACCGTATCGCAATTGTGATATAGTAGGATTTTACTTGATGACCCATAAGAAAGCGTACATCTTAAGACGATCGATCCTTTCGACGACAATCTAAGTAGACAATTTCAGATAGGACAGTTACACAGTTAAATGAGTTAACGGCTAGAAGTCAAATAACCTTAACCCAGATGAGTCCACTTGACAACTCTACGGTAACAGTTGTGCAATTAGAATATCTATCAATCGGAACATCAAACACAGTGGATGTATACCGCATTGACGCTTAAAGATTCGTACAGGCCACATAAACGAAATCAACCGAAACACTACACGCGTTAGGTACTTAAGACAGGTGTGAGAGGCTTACGGTACATGCTTTTCTGCTACAGATACTTGAGACCAATAATCCCTTGAGAAACGAAATCCCTCGATATGTTGCACTGAGAAAGTGACACAAATTTTTGCCATGAGTCCCGCTCAATGATAGTTTTACATGCACGAAACAGATGAACTCATCAAAAAGGTCAATTCGAATGCGAAAGCTTCAAGTCCCATCGATCAAATGCGCGGTTTGAAAATGACACATTAGCATAGGAAACATTATTTTAGCAACTACTGCATTTCAGACATAAAAAAAAGCATGAAACTATCCCAATATCTCAAGTCGTATCACAGAAACATTTAGAGCGGTATTTGTGGGTGAGTAATAAACCTCAAGTGTTTATCTCTTCATACAACGAAGATACTTGAGCGCATTGACCTAACTGGACTGTAGCAAGAACTCATGACAAACCATACACTTGCAAGGGCCTGCAAAATGATTCGCATTTAAGCATAAACTTCGTGAGGATGTCAGAAATTTATCGATACAATAGCAACTGCGTCACGGCGACCGGAAGAGCATCTTAACACAATCAAAACAATGGGATTCTACCACAACATATATTGTTCGCAATGAAAATCATACAGCAATTCTTCAGTGTCCCATAGTTTTTTTCAACGGGCCCTAAAAATTTAGTATCAAGGTTTGAATTATGTAAAACTTACCATTATTGCTTGTTTCTCTGCTCGTGTCTGGAACCGACCGTGACCAAACTTCGACGATGTATCAATGAACTTGAGCGCTATCTTTTCCTTTGATCGGGGTTTAACTTGTGGGATTAGGGTTTTTCTCAACGTGATGACTCGCTTCCTCGGACCCATGCAACAACCTTTGATCATAACATAGTCATTTCTGACTTCGCCATAATGTGGGAATCCGCCCATAGGTGTGATATTTTTCGCTGTCAAATCAAAATCTGTGGATGCATTCCCCTTCGGCTTTGGGACTACATTTTTATCCTTATCATCTTTGGCAACCTCGGCTTTTGCTATCTCCAACTGCGCTTGTAAGCCTGCGGAAATGTGAAAGAAACTGCTACTTACCTATACCGATGCGGTAGATCTTTTTGTTCAGTTCTGTTCTGTGGAAATAGCCTTTTTGTCCTGCCCTAGCGACTGATCTTGCTACACGAGCGGGATGCCAGGCGCCGATACATGCCACTTTTCTGAGACCTTTGTGTGTCTTCCTGGGAAGCTTTTTCGTATGCCAGCGAGAAGTAACGCCTTTGAAGCCTTTACCTTTAGTCACACCAATAACATCGATCATTTCATCCTGAGAAAAGACGTTTGAAATTGGAATCTGTTTTTCAAAGTGTGAGCGGATCCAGTCGACCTTTTGTGATATAGTCCCTCCGTTAACTTGGATTTCCATGACATGTGCTTTCTTCTGCCGATGTTTCATTAGTCTCATCTAATACCAATATAACTATGAATAATAATCATACCTGTGTATGAGCAATAGCTCGTACAACTGTACAGTACTTTTTGATTTTCTTCAAGTCACGACTTATCTGTGCCAAACCAGCTTCGTCTGCCCACTTTTTGGAGGCTTTAGTGAAAGCCTTCTTTTTGGACTTGCACCAATCCTTGTAAAAGCGCCGTCTACATTCTTCGGTTAAATGCTCTGCCCACACCGTTTTGAACGTCCTCAAGCCCTTTGCAGTAGGGGCATAACCGACCATGCCAACGATGACCATTGGTGGACATTCCAATATGGTCACTGGCTCTACTACCTCACGTTTGTGTACTTTAGAGCCGACACGATCAACCTCACGCACGATGTGGGTCATTCCTGCTTTGTATCCCATGAATGCTGTTAGATGGGGTGGGAGGGACCTTCTGTCTCGTGGGAAAGCCTTACACTTTCCTCGAATGCGTCGGCTGCGCTTTTTGGGTGTGAACCCAAGAGAACCATGACGTGGGGCCGAGAACTTTCTATGTGACTACAAACCACGTTACCAACACAGAACAACCTACCATGATGCGACACACGTTATTTGTGACCGCGCTTTGATAAACAAAAACACATTGGTTTGAAATTAAATTGTTCAATGCATGTATGGGACAGATTTCAGATAATACATTTTTGATGCATAAAGATATATTGAATTACATTTAAGAGGTATTTTCAGATCTTCTCCGTTACTTGTATGAATATACGCTTTGTTTTAGTTCCTCAGGTAAACGTAATAGTGGATCACGTGTTTCACTCCGGATTGTTTACAATGATCATCACATTTCAGTGTGAATCTGATAAGTGCCGTCCTTTTTGTGTAGACACAACTTTCCACATGCTTTCACCTTCTATGCACATAACCTGAATCATGTAGCCATCGGACGCCCAAGTCGTCACCTCCCATCCCGATCAACTCGACTACTTGGAGTGTGATATCCGTTAACGGTGTCCTCGGTGTACATCCAGCTCATCCTTATTCGCCTCTACGTATTTATGGAATAATAGATTCTTGGCTGGTTGGTTGTCAGGGATCCAAGTGGCCAATTCATTCCAGTCAGGTATCTGATCTTCAGTTTTAACCGAAGACGTCTGTTGATTAAAAATTTGTAGTCCGTTGGCAGTGCGTTTCGCGGTTCGCCAACTGTTTGACTTTAATAGAGGCCCAGATTTGACGTCAGTGTTTGGAATTCAGACTCTGCGCCGTGCACTGAGTGCTGCAGACCCAGACATGAATTTCAGAGTTATGCCTGTCTTGTTTGTGAGTGCCACTTCCACACACCAAACCATTAAATGCAAACAGATCAGTAGATAATTATAAATGTTCACTCATCTCACATAGCGTCCCTCGTTTCATAATGGGTTCTCCTCGTGGGTGTCTGCTACTAGTTTGACAGCCACTTGGTCCACTAGAATTTTTGTCTTCATCTTCCTGGCGTATTTTCTATTACCGTTGCAGTAGTTTGTCTACAGGTATCTCCCCCCTTCTCATGATCTGCACCGTTTGTGGCTATGTAGCTTTGTGTAACTGCGGCTTGCATTTCTTTTGACTTAATCTTGTCGTCACAATCATAAAAGACACCCCTCCCATCACACAGAAGTCTTCAAAAAGGCCAGTAACGTCGTGACAGCCACACAGTGCGTTCTTTTATTGTTGTTGGCTAGGTGAAGATTGCAATATCTCTCGTTTACAACTTGCAAAGTCCACTTCCGTGGCATGTTCCGACGACCATATACTAAAAATATGATGGAAATCATTTTCAAGAGATATAAAGGGAGAAATCTATGGAATTCGCTGTATGATAAATTCATAGTTTCAGTGTTTAATGTTTAACTCATGTGGTGTATCCTATTTGTTTATGATTTCCCAAAACAATTTGTACAGAAACCAGTGTGTTTTCATCTGAAGTGCATGAACAATATCATGCAAGTTAGTAGAAAACAGAAGTCATTGGTGAAACATTTGTATGCTAATAATTCTAGCAGTTACGATCAAATATATAGTACTATGTTCGTTGTAAGCTTATGTTAACCTGACAATATATGATTTCCTGGTTGTATTTTGGCATTTTTATCAGTACTATTAGAACACTTTGGCTCCGGACTTTTGTAAGTGATGTTTCGCATTTTACACAGGGGTTAAATAATGGGCTGAATATGCCATTTGGAATATTTCATTTCTGGTACATACACAGCGGGTCTTAGGGACATATCCAATGTCTGAACTGTATAATGGAGCTTGAGGTTGTGGCTACTGTGGAATAAGGAAAGTCATGTTGAACTAGATGACAGTCTACTATCATAATCTTGGATATAGCGAAACAATACTTAGCTGTTTCGAGTGGATTCATCCCTTCTGATAAATGACTGCCTACTTTAAGTTAACTCAACTTTATTCAAAATACCAGGTAGGTGACGCGTACCGGTTTCCATTTATCATCATTAAAAGTGATGGAAACAAAGTGATTTAGGTGATACATAACCGTGACTCCTGGAAAACATGCCTAGTCATTACTACAGTAGTATTTCTCAGCATGAGAGGAGTCGGTTACTCGATAATTATTAATCTGTATATGAACGAAATATTCCCATATTGAGTCATAAGAAAAGGCACAAACAGCGAAGAAAATTTTCTTTTCGACGATTCATTTTCATGAGCTGTACAATCGTAATTATAATTAACAAAGAAATCTTTAGACCAATCAGATACTGGTAAATTTTGTCCTTAGAAAATTGTATTACATAATGTAAGGTGTAAGAAGGGATGACTAATTGTAAGTTAGAAAGGAGACAGAAGTTGGCATGACGTAATAAGTGTGAGATAGTGAATAATCAATAATCTCGTGTAAAATGGACAGGAACTAGTGGAAAGGCTAATAAAGTGTTTTTGTATAAAATATGTATGGAAAACAATGTTATTAATAAACAGTAATAGAGTGGTAATAAAATGTGGATGATGGGGACAAAATGATAATAAAAGTATTAATAAAATAAAATAATAATAATGGTAATAATAGTGAACTTACATAATAAAGGAAAGAAGCAAAATTGTGATAAGAACTTTACTCTGGCCATGGTAAGGCAAGAGAATGTATGTATCGCTTTTGTATGCAGAGGTCCGGTTTTAGATCTCGAATAGCTAATGCTTCAGCTATGTAGAGATGGCGAATCCGAAGTCCCTTTGTACGATATTGAGGGACTCTGTGTAACACTGTGAAGCATTCATGTGGGGGTGCTCGATGTCCAGAGATGACAAGGTGTTCGAGGATCGAGCTGTTGCTATTCTTCTTTTCTCCTCTGGCCAACCAAGCGGGGCAGTGTTCCAGAATACGTTTTTGGACTTGACGTTGCGTACGGCCAATATACTTTGCTCCACACGAGCAAGTAAATTGATAAATACACATTGAGGTGGCCAAAAGCGGTATCTTGTCCTTAGCGTTAGACTGGATTAACTGTCTGCAGGAGAATGTGATACGTAGAGTGGCTGTTGGAAATGTCTTCTTCAGACATTTAGAAAGGCGGTTTCTGAGAATTTCCGCTGCGACATCACCTTTGAATTCTAGGTTCATGAAGAGAGTCTTCTTAGGAACCGTTGCGATGTTTGACATCGGAGGCTTCTCCTTCATGTTTTTGTCAATAAATCTTGGTGGATATCCATTCTCTAGTAGGATTTTACGTAATAAATTTAATTCATTCTCCACCATGTCTTCCGAGCAGATTTTTCTAATCCTTGAGCTCAACGTACGTATCAGGTTTCTCTTTCGGATTAGTGGGACGAAGCTCTGAAAGTTGATAAACTGTCCAGTCCATGTCGGCTTGCGGTATATTGATCTTTGGATCGTACAGTCGTGTCGTCTGGTGAGTAGTACATCAAGGAATGGAAATGTGTTGTTCGATTCTCTTTCTAAGGTGAAACTTATTGATGGATGCGCTGCGTTGAAGGTTTTAAGGAGAGAATCTAAATCACAATTTTCATCACAGATTATAAACGTGTCATCTACGTATCTCTTGTATAAGTGCAGTTGACTTATCAAGGGATTGAGGATGTTGTTTTCCAGACTTGCCATGAAGCAGTCGGCTAGGAGTGGACCGAGAGGAGACCCCATAGCTACTCCATCTTTCTGTACATAGAACCTTTCATTGAATTTGAACTGGATATTGAACGTACATCTGAGAAGAAGTTCCTTCAGGTAGTTTATTGGGAGAGGAACTTCTAGGTTGTTGGTCTCGATGTAATCACAAATGAAGCATATTGTTTCAGTTAGGGGGATGCTTGTGAATAGAGAGACGACATCTAGTGAGATCATTTGTCTTTCAGACACGTTGACATCCTTCACTGAGTCGATGAAGTCAAATGTATCTCTGAGGCTATATTTTGTCATATGTCTTTGAACTGGTTCGAGGATATCAGCTAGCCACTTCGCGATTTGATGATATGGTGAGTTAACCATGTCTATGACCGGTCGAAGTGGGACATTCTCCTTGTGCACTTTAGGCAGTCCATACAGTCTTGGAATAGTTGAACTGCAAGGTTTTATTTGCTCATAAACCTCCGGTGTTATGACTGAATCTTCTTTCATTCTCTTCAACAATTTTGTAAGTAGGATTTCAGTTCTTTCGGTTGTGTCTTTCTGGTTGGGTGATTCGAAGAATTTGGTGATTTAGATTCTCTCCTTAAAACCTTCAACGCAGCGCATCCATCAATAAGTTTCACCTTAGAAAGAGAATCGAACAACACATTTCCATTCCTTGATGTACTACTCACCAGACGACACGACTGTACGATCCAAAGATCAATATACCGCAAGCCGACATGGACTGGACAGTTTATCAACTTTCAGAGCTTCGTCCCACTAATCCGAAAGAGAAACCTGATACGTACGTTGAGCTCAAGGATTAGAAAAATCTGCTCGGAAGACATGGTGGAGAATGAATTAAATTTATTACGTAAAATCCTACTAGAGAATGGATATCCACCAAGATTTATTGACAAAAACATGAAGGAGAAGCCTCCGATGTCAAACATCGCAACGGTTCCTAAGAAGACTCTCTTCATGAACCTAGAATTCAAAGGTGATGTCGCAGCGGAAATTCTCAGAAACCGCCTTTCTAAATGTCTGAAGAAGACATTTCCAACAGCCACTCTACGTATCACATTCTCCTGCAGACAGTTAATCCAGTCTAACGCTAAGGACAAGATACCGCTTTTGGCCACCTCAATGTGTATTTATCAATTTACTTGCTCGTGTGGAGCAAAGTATATTGGCCGTACGCAACGTCAAGTCCAAAAACGTATCCTGGAACACTGCCCCGCTTGGTTGGCCAGAGGAGAAAAGAAGAATAGCAACAGCTCGATCCTCGAACACCTTGTCATCTCTGGACATCGAGCACCCCCACATGAATGCTTCACAGTGTTACACAGAGTCCCTCAATATCGTACAAAGGGACTTCGGATTCGCCATCTTTACATAGCTGAAGCATTAGCTATTCGAGATCTAAAACCGGACCTCTGCATACAAAAGCGATACATACATTCTCTTGCCTTACCATGGCCAGAGTAAAGTTCTTATCACAATTTTGCTTCTTTCCTTTATTATGTAAGTTCACTATTATTACCATTATTATTATTTTATTTTATTAATACTTTTATTATCATTTTGTCCCCATCATCCACATTCTATTACCACTCTATTACTGTTTATTAATAACATTGTTTTCC